CAATTTCATTTATTTCTGCTCTGATTTTTATTATTTCCCTCCTTCTGCTGACTTTAAGCTTTGTTTGTTCTCTTTCTAATTCTGTTAGGCATAGTTTGAGGTTGCTTATTTGGGCTTTTTCTTGTTTGTTAAGGTGGGCCTGTATTGCTATGAGTTTCCCTCTTAGGATTGCTTTTGCTGCATCCCATTTGAGTTGATATGGTGTATTTTCATTTTCATTTGTCTCCAGATATGCTTTGATTTCTCCTTTAATTTCATCAATGATCCATTGGTTGTTTAGTAGCATGTTGTTGAGTCTCCACAGCTTTGTCACTTTCCCGGTTTTTTTCTTGTAGTTGATTTCTACTTTATGGCATTATTGTCAGAAAAGATGTTTGTTATGATTTCAATCTTCTTAAATTTATATAAGCATGCTTTGTTTCCCAACATATGGTCTATTCTCGAGAATGTTCCATGAGCACTTGAGAAGACTGTGTATTCTGCTGTGTTTGGATGGAGTGTTCTCTATATTATCTGTTAAGTCCATCTCATCAAGTTTTTCGTTTAAGTCCATTATTTCCTTATTGATTTTCTGTCTGGGTGATCTGTCCATTGGTGAGAGTGGGGTGTTAAGATCCCCTACTATTATTGTGTTGTTGTTAATATCTCCTTTTAGATTTGTTAATAGTTGCTTTATGTACCTTGGTGCTCCTGTATTGGGTGCATATAAATTTAAAAGTGATATGTCTTCCTGGTGGAGTGTCCCTTTTATCATTATATATTGCCCCTCTTTGTCTCTCATTACCTGCTGTATCTTGAAGTCCACTTTGTCTGATATAAGTGTGGCAACACCTGCTTTCTTTTGTTTGCCTTTAGCTTGGAGTATTGTCTTCCATCCTTTCACTCTGAGTCTGTGTTTGTCCTTAGAGCTGAGATGTATTTCCTGGAGGCAGCATATTGTTGGGTCTTGTTTTTTAATCCATCCCACCTCTCTGTGTCTTTCGATTGGAGAGTTTAGTCCATTTACATTTAGGGTGATTATTGATATATGGGGGCTTGTTGTTGTTATTATTTTATCGCTCTTTTTCCTGTTCTTTTGCCTTTCTGTTTTTTCTCGTCCTGTGTGTTTCAGACTACCAATTCAGTTTGGTAGTTCTGTATGGGGGTTCTCTTAGTTTTCTCTTTCTTTATCGTGTGTGATTCTGTTCTGATTATTTGGTTAGTGGTTACCATGAGGTTTGTATAAAAAATCTTGCGGATGTGATAGTCCATTTTTTGATGGCCTCTTATTCCCTTAGACTAAGTCAATCCGATCCCTTTCCTCTTCCTCTTCTAAGTTATTGTTGTCACATCTTATTCTTTCTTGTGTTGTGAGTTCATGTTTAACATGATGAGGTTATATTTATTTTTGGTGCTTACCTTCCCTTGATCTTTGGTTTTATAATTAAGTGTTTGCTAATCTATTTTGATAGAGGATTGCAATTTTTCTGGTTTTGTTGACCTATTTTCCTCCTTGTTCAAAACTTTGAATCCCCTTTCTCTTTTTTTCCTCAGGGATGAGGGCCTTCTTGAGCACTTCTTGTAGTGGGGGTCTTGTGGCAATGAACTCCCTTAGCTTTTGTTCATCTGGGATAATTATTCTCTCTCCATCATATCTGAAGGATATTTTTGCTGGATAGAGTATTCTTGGCTGAAAGGTTTTGTCCTTCAGAATTTTGAATATATCATTCCACTCTGTCCTAGCCTGTAAAGTTTCTGTCGAGAAATCGGCTGAGAGCCTGATAGGAAATCCTTTGTATGTTATTTTTGTTTTTGTCTAGCTGCCCTTAATATTTTTTCTTTGTCATTGACTTTTGCCAGCTTTACTACTATATGCCTTGGAGAGGGTCTTTTCGTGTTGATATATTTAGGAGATCT